GTAGAAACAGACAATCAAGATACAGAAGGTATGAGCAACATTGTCAATGAACACGACCTTACTGAGTTTATAGAACTTTCCAACAGCAGAGTACACGTTCTCTTTTAAGTGCAAAGGGCAAGATAGAACAGATTCTGAGCCAAAAACAAACCTTACAAAGTTTAAAGGAGTGCAGATCACACAAAGTATGTCCTTTGATCGTAACAGAATTAAACTAAAAATCAGTAACGGATATTTCAAAAATCCCCAAATATTTGGAAATTAAGTGTCACACTTAACCCATGATTCAATGAGGAAGTCACAAGGGAAATTAGGACACATTTTGAGTAGAATGAAAATCAAGACAACATGCAAAAACTTGTAGTATGCAATCAAAGCAGTGCTAGGGTAAAATTTAAAACATTAAATTAAATAAAAAATTAAACAATCGTATTAGAAAAGAATCTCAAATTAGTGATCTAATAGGAAAGAAAACAAATTATGCATAAAACAAGCTGAATGCAGACAGGAAATTATAAAGATAAATCAATGAAATTCAGAACAGAAAAAGAGAAAAAAACAGAAAAATCTACAAAATCCCCCTCCCCCACACCAAAAGCTAGTTTTTTAAAAGAACAATAAACTTGATAAACTCTAGACCGACAAAAAAAAAAAGACACAAATTACAAATATCAGGAATGAAAGAGGGAACCTCTCTACAAACCATACGGACATTAAAAGCCTTAGACAGAAAAAAATGCTACAAATTCACCAACTTACACAAAATAGAAATTCCTTGAAAGACAACTGGCAAAGATCACTCAAAGAAAGATAACCTGAATAGTCCCATAGCAAAGAATTTGATTGCTTAGTTTAAAACTTCCCGTCAAAATAAAAAGCCAATCTACCAGACATTTACAAAGAAATGATACCGATTTTATACAGCTCTTCAAGAAAAACTGAAGTGGAGAGTACACTTTCCAATTCATCATGTGAAGCCAGTATTACCCTCGTATCAAAGCCAGACAGATATAAGAAAATAAAACTTCAAACTAGGATCCCTCACGAACATAGATGCAAAATCCTCAAGAAAACACTATCAAATCAAACCCAGCATTATATATATATATAAAATAATACATCACGGGGTGGTAGGGGGTTACAGCCCAGTGGAAGAGCATTTCTTAATTATGCGTCGTATTTCCTGTTTGTGTG